GATTCACGTTGAAGAACTTTGAAGGGTCCTTCGTATGCTGATTCGAAGGGTCGTCGATGCGAGTCTCGACGAACGAAAACGTGTGTACTATATCGTAAGTCAGGTTGAACGAAAACATCAGTTGATTGAGGTCGAGTGGAAGCAGGTTTAACTGAACGCATTGCGTTTGTAAGCCTGTTCGTGTAGGAGGTTAGATCCATGTTCATTGAAAAGGATGAAGGATCCACGAATTCTCCTGGAAGTCGAAGTGTCGTTCCATAAACGAGTTGAGACGCAGTGTATCCAATGTCAGCTTTCACTGCATTGCGGATACCTAGTAAGACGAGTGGAAGAGCGTCGGTCCATTGTGAAACGTTTGCAGCTGATAGCGAAGCTTTCAGTTGTCGGTGAAAACGTTCTACCAACCCGTTTGCTTGTGAATGGTAGGCGGTCGTTCGGAATCGAGTGATTCCTAAAAGTGTGGTCAGACGACGGAAAAGATCGGATTCAAACTGACGTCCGCGGTCTGTAGTGATGGTTGAAGGGCAACCGAAGTTTGCTACCCATCGTTCGACGAAGGTGCGGGCCACTGTTTCAGCAGTGATGTCCTTGATAGGTACTGCTTCTGGCCATCGAGTGAAACGGTCTACGCAGGTTAAGAGATAAGAGTATCCATTTGAATCCGGTAAAGGTCCTACCAAATCCAGATGAACATGGTCGAAACGAGCATCGGGAGTTTTAAACGAGCCTAAGGGACATTTATTGTGTCTGATAACCTTAGATTTTTGGCAGCTTACACAGGAGCGTGCCCACTCCCTCACGTCTTTATTCATGCCAGGCCAGCAAAACCGTTCTGCTATAAGCTTGACGGTTGCACGAACACCTGGATGAGAAAGTTTGTGCAATGTGTTGAAGACATTGCGTCGATAATGTTTCGGCACGATTGGGCGATCCCTACCTGTAGATGTGTCACAAAGTAAGGTTTCCTTACCTGTTCCCATCTGTTTGATGCGTAGTTTAAGTGTTGTGGACGATAACTCGTGCTGAAGATCACTGTCTTCTTTTTGAAGCTCGGCGAGTTTAAGAAGGTCGATTCCTTGGAAACTGTTCAAGGAAGTTATACGAGATAAAGCGTCTGCAACTACATTGTTTGCTCCAGAGATGTGTTGAATGTCTGAAGTAAACTGCGAAATGTAGTCCAGTTGTCGAGACTCACGGGGAGAGTACTTGTCTGAAGGAGAGCTTAACGAGAAAGTGAGCGGTTTATGGTCCGTGAAAAGAGTGAATTCACGACCTTCGATGTAGTGTTGGAAATGCCGTACAGCACAATACATAGCTAGGAGTTCCCTACCGAATGTGCTGTACCTCGATTCGGTGTCTAGCAACCTTCTTGAGAAAAATGCCAAGGGTTGCCAGGAGTTGTTAACCCATTGTTGTAAGACTCCTCCGATTGCCGAGTCGGATGCGTCTACTGCGATGCTAATGGGTGCTCGGGTGTCTTGATGTGCGAGCATCGTTGCTTTAGCAATCAGTTCCTTAACTGTGGAGAATGCTTTTCGTGCGGTGTCGTCCAAATTAATGGATTTCGCATTTCCACGAAGTTGGTCGGTCAGAGGTTTCATAAGTAATGCGCATTTCGGTATGAAACGTCTATAGAAACTTACGAGGCCGTTAAACGTGCGTAATTGCTTGACGGTGGTCGGTTCTGGGTAATCCAGAATGGCCGCCACTTTGGTCCTAAGAGGTCGAATGCCTTGAGCATCGATAGTGTGTCCTAGGAAGTCTAACGAGTCGGTTCCGAATTGGCATTTCTGAACGTTTACAGTTATGCCATGTTTTTGAAGTCGTTCGAAAACAAGATCCAGATGCTTGAGATGTGTTTCTCTGTCCGGACTTGCGATTAGACAGTCGTCAACATACGCGTGTACGAAGTTGAGACCTCGAAAAACGTCGTCTATGAATCTTTGGAATGTTTGAGCAGCATTCCTTAGACCGAAAGGCATTCGCAAAAATTCATAGAGTCCGAAAGGAGTTATAATAGCTGTTTTCGGTATGTCGTCAGTAGCCATAGGGATTTGGTTATACGCTTTAACCAAGTCGATTTTCGAAAAGACAGTTGTACCTTTCAAGGTAGCTGTCAAATCGTGAATGTGAGGCAACGGGTAACGATCGGGAATGGTTTTCGCGTTCAATCGCCGATAGTCACCAGTTGGACGCCAATCGTTGCTGTCCTTTTTAGGGACCATGTGCAACGGAGATGCATATGGGCTACTTGACGGTCGTATGATTCCTAAGTCCATCATGTGATCGAATTCGTTTTTCGCTAACCTTAGCTTTTCAGGAGCTAGTCGTCGTGCTTTAGAGAATACAGGTGGTCCTGTAGTCGTGATGTGATGTGTAACATTGCTGGTTACACACAGTAGTTTCGGTTGAGTTTGTTGTATCCCAGGGTACTTATCGAGTAGTGGTTGATAGAGTGGGTCTATCATATGTTTAACTGTGACTGGGGATACTCTACAACCAGTAAAGGAAGTTACGCAAACGGACAAATTAGTGTTTCCGTCTACTAGCCTCCGTTTGCGCGTGTCGATGATCAGATTGTGGTGTTGTAGAAGGTCCATACCAATGATTGGCATAGAAACATCTGCAACAACGAAAATCCAGTGGATGGGTTTGCGTAAGCCCACGTTAAGGTAAACGTACCTTTTGCCATACGTAGCGATCGGTTTTCCATTTGCCGCCTGTAAGTTAAAAGCCGATTCCTGAAGCCGGTCGTTAGGATTTGCTGGGAGAACGCTAACTTCTGCGCCAGTGTCGACGAGGTAACGAACTCTCGTTGTCACATCTGTGACGAATAACAGACGGCTTTGTTCGTCGGCTACGGTTGCCGTTAACGCGTGCCGGCTTGGAAGTTTCCCGAATTGCTTTTCGAATCAGTCGGTTTCGTGTTGGGAAAATTGCAGGGTTTTCTGCAATTTCTGGAAAACTTTCCATACTGGTTATGATACCAGCACCAGTCGGGGTTATCTGTCTCTCGTGGTCTAGAGACAGATCGCTTACGAGAAATGCTTCTACGTGGTGTCCGCGATCTCTTACGGTCGGTACGAAGACTAAGATAACTCGTGAGTGTGTGACATAAGTCGGTTAAATCATTCTGAGTCGTGTGAGGCTTTTCTTTGACTGAAAATACCTCGGTTGTAGGTTTCGTAATTTCTAGAATGCGGTCGGCAGATGCAGCTAGTTCGTCTAAGGCGTTGTTCTGGAACGAGACCAGAACTGCTTGCACCTGTTGGGGAAGTTTTGACAAGAAGAGTTGTTTGAATAGACCTTCGTCGAAAGTTCTTGGGCCTATTACCTCTCTCATCCGTTGCAACATGTCCGTCGCAGAACCGTGTTGCAGGTCGATGTTATTGAAGAGTTGATCTAACCTTTGTCGATCGGTTAGGTCTCCTCGTTTAAGAATCGAGCGTTTTAAGATTTCGTAAGGATCGGAAACATCACTAGTAAACATACTAGGTGTTACGTACCTGTTGAATTCGCGCGGTAGTGCCTTGACTACTGCGAGGAATTGTGCACGTGTGTCGATCACGCCGTGCTCGTGGAAGTCGGCTTCTGCGTAGCAGAACCAGGCTTCGATGTTGTCGGGCCAGAAAGGCATCAGTTGAAACGAAGGCGGGGACAAAGTCTTAAGCTTGAGTACTTTAGGTGTCTGTTCAGTCATGATGAAGTATGAAGTACGATAATGAACAAGGGGAAAATATATATATCCATGAAAAAACACGAAAAAAAATCACAATGTTTAAAAAAATAAAAAAAAACAAGGCAATGATATATAAAAATCCCAAAAAGGAACAGACTCACAGTTGCAATTAGGTGTACCAGATCACGTCGGTTTCACCAATGATGATGTCACAGGTATTCAGTGTTTGACAACGCTTCTACCAGTAACACCTTCTAATATATTTCGTTCCCACCCAGAGAAATCAAAAGACAGAGTCGAGGAGATCGGAAGAGTATATTTGGCGATGACCAATATATCGGAATTCTCTGATCTAATCTGGCTAGCGATTGCGGTTGATGTTGAGCACGGCGTTACCACACGTGATCTGGTGCGGATGCCTGACCGAACGCCTTCAGCTAAATGAGTCCACTAAAACATATGGTCAGCATCCAATGTCGAAAACCTAGTGCTATTTATTTTGGGGATTTATTTACCGCTACAGAAGCTATGGAAGTTATTTGTAAATAAATGCTTGTGCTATGCTTGCATGTTTTGTTTCATCGAGCATAAAGAAGTAGCAAGAAAACATCTTGATCACCCATCAGTCTGAATAGTGTCACAATTGTTGACGAGTCAACTACCGATCTGTGTTTGGTCGTATTGATATTACAATGCTTAGTCGACCATATTCGTGTGATGGTTAATCGTGACGTTCATAACGTGGAGAGTCGAATAGTATGGCAAGAAGTAATGCACAACATATATTCTATCACAACTAACAGACTTACAGATGATCCAACAACTATTACCTTATATTAAAAGTAGATGAGGTGACAGAATCTACCAGCTGCAGTGGTATGAAAGTTCAGACACATTGGCTGATATACATACATGCAGTATTTCTTATCACTTCAGCTTGTTCTTGATGTCAGGAAAATTTATTCCAGCATATTTTTTAGTTACCAGCTTATTCAACATGCTACTGTTTGAACATAAGAGCAGATTTTGTAGGGTTACCAAAGCAGCTCCAGTTACCTGACTTACCACCTTCCACTGCGAAACTATTCTAGATATTACACCATAGTCCAAAAAGATTTTGTCGGATGAAGCTGGAGCGTACAACAGGACTAGTTGTACAAAAAAGTACTATGGATGGTAATTAATTGTCACATTTGTTGATGAGTATAGTGTCTTTCAGGTAATCACTCACTCAGTAATAGTCCTGAAACTGACAAGCGCAGTTACCGTGCCCCACATTTCATAACTATCCACCTGTTTTATCTAAATGACAATGTGTCCAGTTAAAGTTGTAAGCGGCTAGTTGAATGCTGCGTTACTTCGGAATGCCGATAATTTGATTCTGTTTACTATGTTAGGGAAGTATCTACAGTTTATGTACTTTGTCTTCTTGTGTTCCACACCCCTTTGCAGTGGTGATAAGAATACATCAGTAGTTTATGCTGTCAAAAACTGTGTCTTGTCAGAAAACGCTTCATTTCTTCATGGAATTGTTGGGCATTTGTAAGATATTTCTTTTGTTTTGAAAATTGCTCCAGATTCTCCGATGAGTCTGACGAAAAAGCGGACTATTATTTTAGCGTTTGTGGTTTCAAAACAGAGGAAAACTCATCAGTGTCATTAAATCAATCGGTCATCGCAGTTAGTGAAGCCAGTGTTGTAGAATTAGGATCGTTCACTAATTTTACCATTTCTAACAAAGGTACTGTTAAAACATTGAAACTCATTGACAGGTGATCGGCATCTGGTAAGGTTCAATGATTCAGAGATTATAACAGACTTAATTCTTGGGTGTGGTAGTATGGTAAGTTCAAGCACCAAGAACTCTAACTGTTAGTAGGCCGCCTTTCATCTCATCAGTCATGAAAACGATAAGTCCTACAGTTTTGATCTGTTCCATCCTAGTCTTTGTTCTGCTCAACAACCCACGAAATATACTTTCACTGTCATTCTTGTGTGGTACGTTTGTGGCTTTTGTTCGTATAAAAATTCCAAAACTAATTTTTCTCGAACACCCTTAGCGACCTCTCGGTTCCTAGTTTTCAATGTCATAAGATTTAACTAAGCATAACTTTGAGAAAATAGACACTTAAGCTCACATTACATATTTTGAATAAAAAATTGTTGTAAACTCTAAAACATATCATGTTCTGTTACTATTTACAATCACCATTAATTATTATGTACTATATTATATTGGAAAAGGCTTGTCGTACAAAATCAGTGTGTCGATCCCTACAATACTATCAAATATGTCCATGTATGTGACCGTAAACTTGGTCGTACTACTGTAGTAATATTTTTGCCTAGTTGGGAAGTAGGCTGCTATCCTGTTTTTTAATCGCTGAAGTGTTCAGTGAAAACCCTAATATGGATTTCATAATGCCATTATTTTTAATCTGCAAATTCTAATATTCCAGTTTACTTTGCGATGTCTAATAACACTGGTCTGACAGTCAGTCAGTCAGCTACAACGTAGGACCAGGCGCATATATGCATCGGTCCAGGTTGCCACACCTCATTAGCACAGCAAGATGAACACCGGATTCATAGGAGTGGTTAGGTCAAAGGTGGTAATATATAGGAGAAAGATTGCATATAAGGATACAGTACAGGAAGAAAGAATTAGTTAGTAGAAAGAAATATATGAAGTGATTTTAATCTCTTGGTTTAAGGGAAGACGGAGTGTATACACCTACGCCATTGTGATCGATTCTGAGCCGTGTCACCAAGAGTCTCCAACCATTGGTTACGACAGTCACGCGGACCCCAACCAAGTTGTCCGCATCTACCAACATGGCTCAGATTAGAGGTTAGTGTCTTCAAGCACTGATGACACGTTTTGTTTTGGCCGCCCCTAATTCTCTTCCAACCATCTCTAGCACCCGTTAGCATTGCTTGACGTGGTAATCGGTGTTCAGGCATACGTAACACATGGCCCAACCATCTCAGTCGATGAAGATTCACAACCTCATCAACTGATTTACCATCATTCCCTAATACCCTGCGTCTAACCTCACTATTACTTACCCGGTGATCCCAACAGACGCCAGCAATATTTCTAAGGCATCTGTGGTCAAATACTAGTAGCTTACGGGTGTCTTCTACTCTTAAAGGCCGTGTTTCGCTGCCGTAAAGTAAGACAGAACGGACTGCCGCGCAATATACTCGTCCTTTTATTGATAGACGGATATCTCGCCTTCGCCAAAGGTGACGTAAGTTGGCAAAAGCCAAGCGAGCTTTTCGAATCCGTGCTGAGATTTCGTCCAATACCAGCCCATTAGGGTTGATCAGACTTCCATGATAAGTGAAGTTATCGACGCGTTCGACTACTTCACTCCCTATCCTTAGTTCAGGTGTTGATGCAGGCCAGTCCTGAAGCAAAAACATGCATTTAGAGAGAAGCGCATTCCAAACATTCTGGCATTGTTGCTTAGTGCTACCATAAGCTCTGACTCGACTAGTGGTGTTCGAGTAAAGAGCCTTTACAAGGTTTATGTACCTCTGGGGTACGCCTTTCAATGACAGACACTGCCACAGAATCTCGCGGTCTACCGAGTCAAATGCTACTTTTAAGCCAAGAAAGACCACCATTGTCGGACGTCGATAAGTATGCCTGTGTTCTAAAACCTGACGAATGGTGAATATGTGGTCGGTGCAGCCACGACCAGGTCTAAAGCCAGCTTGGTTCTCTCGTGTTTGCAGTTCACGAGTCTTAGTTAGGCGTCTGATAATTATCGAGGCTAGTATTTCAGATATTATATTATTTAAACTAATCCCTCTATGGTTGTCACAGGATGATTTTGATCCTTTCTTATATATTGGAACGATAAGTGATTGTGACCAGTCAGATGGAATAACGTCTAACTCCCAGATCTTAGCTAAAATATTAGTCAACCTAATCGCTAAAATTGGACCACCATCCTTAAAGACTTCTGGAGCCAATCCGTCTGGACCAGCTGCCCTTCCTCGTTTCAGGTTATTTATAGCCTTTTGAACTTCGGCTAGAGTTGGGGGACCTACTTCAATGTTCCATTCACACTGTCTGGGAATGAAGGGTAGTTATAGAGTCGCTGAAAGCCAGCTGAACTGTTCCCTAAAATGTTCCGCCCATCGTCCTAAACGTCTGGACTGGGAGTAGATGAGAGTATCGGTGTAGAGCCGAGAGTTGAACGCGGATATTTATGACAGTGTACTTTTTATTACCAGTAAGTCTAAAAACGCCAATAATATAATCTAACCAAAACATGTTTCAGACCAAAAACAGACTGTAAATCACCAATCTCGGGGAAATGTACGTAGACTTTTTAGGGATTACGTTAAAAGTTCAGATGTACGTCAAACATGGCTTCTGTATATAGTAATACCAGTAATAATACTAATAGTGATAATAATAGTTATTTTCATTTACCGAGTTTCAACAAGAATTATTTTCCTTGTCGATTACACAAACGTCAGATACCAACATAGCCTGGTCCCCAAAATATTCACGGTACTGTGTGATTACTTGTATATAGGCATAACATTGTTACATTGTATATATTCTCTACGTATCCTAATAAGCAATATTTTTTGGTCGGAATAACTTCAGTATATATTTTGTTTATAAACACTGCACCATTCTTTTTTGTTCATATCATTGTGTACCTTTCTCAATTTAGCTGTTTAGCTTTCATTGTTGGATATTGTGTGTTAAGTTCTTTAATAAAGAGATACTTATATGGACGACCGTGGCATCAATCTGTTCCATTCACCGATACCTTTGAACATTTGAAAAATCGATTCCAGGTAAATTCAAATTGCCTTTTAGATCCCTGATATTAATCCACTCTTCCAATTTTCATTTGAAATTAGTTTCATTTAGTGGCATACTATCTACTTAGTACTTTATGTTTAAAGACATCAACTGGAAATCTTCATTTAACTTGTGCTTACAGTTTTTTGATACCAATTGGGAGCATTGTACCGTTTCAAAGAAAACTATCCTACAAATATTTGAACCTGAGTTACTCAGTGTTGAAACTGGAGACTTTACTATTAATCTTATGTCACATCGCTTAGCGCTGATCATACTGTATTCTTAAATCAATCAAATCCAGTCAATATAGAACTAGTTCATCCTATAGATGGCCATTACATGGTTATAAAATATAATTTATCCATATTTACTAATAGTTTTGAATGGAAATAATTCCTTAGATATTGCACAAAGCAGATAAAATTAAAATCAACAGATACGGTCTTGTGCCTATTCGTTCATTATAACGCTGTTATCAAAGTATGTTTGAACATGATTCAATGGTTCTCGCGCCTAAGTCAGTTGCAATCTACTTAATTCGTTCTGTGCCGTTAAGTAACGTAATTTTTCTCAGCATACGCTCATTCTAAATTATAGTTCAGTATACGACCTTGTACCATATGCATTCGAAACCATGATGATCGCCAAGAAAATTCAACTTAATAACTACTTCTAGTCCTATGTAAACAGGTTTTACAAACACTACTTATACTAATCAGTTGGTCTTATCATTATTTCATAACTGACAGATGTTTTTAGGGATAATAATCTAATGATGGTTGCAACAAATGTAGCAAAACATTTATGTCATTAAAAAAATCGAAAAGTCCCGTTTCTGAAATTGATAAGTATACCATGTATACATAATTTATAATAAAACTTAGCAGCTGACTAAAGGTTCTAGTCATCACTTTCAAGGCAAATTTTCGTGAAAAGGCTAATATTACTACCTAGTTATCTAAATCAAAATTGGTCTAGTTAAAAAGAATACTATGTATGGTGCGTGTTTACAGAAAAATTAATTTTCAACAAGTGGTTGTATAAATTTTCATGTTCGGCTAAATGCTGCTTCATTAATAGTCTTAGCCTTTAAATATCAGCTGCCCATACATAGGTCTATATCTTTCTGCAATGTCACTAGGTAGATGAGTGCTTCGTAATCAAATCAATACCGTTGAAAATTCAATTGTTAATCCACACTGATGTATTTTCAACGGTTACACTGATATAGCCCCCAAATGCCCTGGTACGGCCGGATGTGAGGAGAGTCCGCTCTCCCTCTCGAAATGCTCTCACATGGCCACGCGTATATAGCCTCTGCCAAGGAAGTCCTACTCACTACCTTCTCGTGGTGGGGGTGTTCGTTACGAAATTGAAAGGACAAAAAGCGAATGTCTGGAGCTTTAACCGGGCCGGTGAACACGGTGGGTTCACCTAGGGGAGTTGGAAAACCCTGGTTCCAAACCAATGGTGCACATGGGCTTCAGTGTCCTGAGGGGACAAATGGCGTATGAACCAATCGTTGGTCACCTGCTACCATGGGACTTCATCTCCTTACGATGCTCCACTGCCTTGTGGATCAGACCTTCAGGTCGAAGGCTCCGGATTTGGCCCCTTAAGAAAACCACCTTCTTCGGTTTGGGCAGTATCACAGCCCACACACAAATAGACAAAATAAAATACTGGTAAAACTAAAGGATTTCAGCTTAAATATAGGTTATAGTACGATCGATACAAACTTTGACAGATTTAGAATAAACAGTCCAAGATTCTATCAGGTTCACACTTACCTTTACGTATGAGGAATTTTTTACCCAGAAATATCATAGAATATCTAGTTTTTGCAACTGTTATAATCATTATTATGTCTTTCGTATCCAGGACTATATTGTTCTTCATTGTCATCGTCCACAAATTCGCCTTGTTGAACCAGTATATATGCCTCTACCGAATGATTCACCAGAACAATTTAAAACTAAAAATAACGAATCAATATGCGAAAATTCACTAGAACAAAAACAGTTGCTACTGTCGAATTCAGATGAACAACAAGATGATATATTATTGGCTCTTTAACACAGTAAACCAATTATACAAATTGACTTCATATATTAATGGATTTTATGGAATATTTTTAATCATTATATTTTATTTAACACAATCTTCAGATGAACATTATGTCAATTAACTTAAATAACCTACATTTCTTTTATGTTTTGTTCATTTTTATTCCGTTTTCCCGTGATAATATAATACACTTGTCATTATGATATTCCGGTGCCTTGAAGTATCTTAGTAATATCATTGTTAACTGAATATAGATTGTGTATTATTAATATTTAGTAAAATGTTCGAAAGTCAAGTAATATATGTATTAAGACATTCCGTTTGATTTTTCTCTTTTCGAAATGTACCGACAACTGTGCTATATTACCTTTTAGATCTTATTTACTCCATATTTCCCGCTTTCTCATTTTATTTCAGTTTCCCTTCGGTTTTTTTCTTGTGAATAAGATGTATAAGATAATTGGATTGCAAAATATACAAACATTGTTTGTTTTATTGCTTGGAGCTTAGAAAATCTACTAACATAGCTTAGTAATTAAAGCAATTAGCTTTCAGTCAGTAGCTTATGGGTCCGAACCCTGAACTAAACACTTCTGTTTTGGGTAAGCGAGTAGTATCATCACTCAATGTGGCTTAGAGATGAGCTCATGAACTTGTATTTGGTAAATCAGTCACATCAACTTTAGCTCTTGGTTCCGTCAAGGTATTTAATCCCACCAATCTAACCTTCAAACGATCATATACTGGACATCTATATTTAATCCTACTGTTATTCGAAATTATTTTAATGCCAGTTTACTTGAAATTAATTTCATCTGTTCAGTAAGCTGGTGACAGCTCTAATTTATATGACCGAAGCACACCAGAGACAACCTACTCGCTATATTTTGTCTTCTCATCTATATTTCTTTCAGCAATTCATTCCAACTCAGCTTAAATCGAGCCGCATGGATTTTTATACTGACATGTACAGTGCTTTTTAGATAACATTAGTTATAAAGAAACTTATTCATTAGGCAAGTGTCCATATCCTACTCTTGTTTTGATAACGAAAATCTTGTTGAATCAATTATTGATAAGTAGTAATGATAATAATGTAGGTTATAATTATCTCCTCCAACGTTAGCTTTGTGGCTAAAGAACTTAATTTTTAGCCACTGGATTTCACATTCGAATATTCCCCTCATTCACTACAGTTTGTAGATGACTGACTGTACACTTAGGTAGCATCCTAGCCTTCAGACACTAAATCATATACCTTTAAAGTTTGGTTGTCACATCAATATTTAGTTATCAAGTAGAATGGAGTCATATGGGTAGGAAGCCAATGAACTGAAAATAAAATCAAATTAATTTTATTGTGTTACACTTGGTTTTTGAGTGTTAATAACATTAAGCTGCCGTAAACTTTTCAAAGAAATCTTTTAAACTCAATATTAATCCTAGTCGAAGAAGTACACAGTCAAGTGACCAATCCACAAACAGGCTAATTACAAACAAAATGAGTAGGCAGTTGCTTATTTGCCATAGTTTGACCCAGTATTTATCTTATCCCACTTAAACAGATGAAACATTACATACAAAAGTCCTTTTTATTGCTAATACTATGGGAATGTAATTATTCGTCATATTTCTAAATGATGAGTGCTTCGTAGACACTTTTTATAGAGTGCTTTCCCATGAACCTCTACAATACGTGGAATATCGTATTGCCTACATAAATCGGAAATCTTGGTTACAGTGTGTTTTTAAAAAAGACATTCAAGACTTTGTACTTTTTAACGTAAGCCATCAAATATCTTTATTACACATCATTAATTGATAGGATTTAACTGACTATCACACAGTGTTAGACATTTCTTTAGGAAGATTCTTTTCCACGAGATGTGGTTGCTAACCTCTATCCTCTACTCTTCTCCTTTATCCGAACTTGGGACAGCTAGTAATCCTAACAGGGCTTCAGGCACAATATAGTTGTAACTTTCATAGACATTTAATATAATGTGAAGTGATCCTTTGTTAATATCCTCTTTTCATTGATTAGCATACAATATATAGCATATTACCTGACAATTTACATCTTATTGCTTAAGTAATCAAACCTGTTGATTATTTCCCTTAAACGATTAATTCCATTCTGCTTTAATTAAATCAATTATCTATTATATTTGACATAGCTTTTATCCAACTTAAATACATAAAAATTCATTCTTTTCCTTAGTTACTAAAGTGTGAATTCTTCGATTATCGGATGTTATTATTAAAAAAAACTTGATTTGACACTAGAAATCGTTCAAATGGTAGTAATCACTTTCAGATTATTCATTATGAACATTTTAACATAAAACAGAATTTAATATATTCATTGTTTTCGATTGTTTGAGTTTTATTTTATTTATTTTAACACAGATACAAGGAGGCACCAAATACATATGCGCCACACAGATTTCATTTGATTTGTGTGAGGGCTGTGATACTGCCCAAACCGAAGAAGGTGGTTTTCTTAGGGGGCCACATCCGGAGCCTTCGACCTGAAGGTCTGATCCACAAGGCAGTGGAGCATCGTAAGGAGATGCAGTGCCATGGTAGCCGGTGACCAACGACTGGTTCATACGCCATTTGTTCCTTCAGGACACTGAAGCCCATGTGCACCATTGGTTTGGAACCAGGGTTTGTCAACTTTCCTAGGTGAACTCTCCATGTCTACCAACCCGGTTAAAGCGCCGGGCGTTCACTTTTTGTCCTCTCAATTTCGTAACGAACACCCCCACCACGAGAAGGTAGTGAGTAGGACTTCCTTGGCAGAGGCTGTATACACGTGGCCACGTGAGAGCATTTCGAGAGGGAGAGCGGACTCTCCTCACATCCGGCCGTACCAGGACATATGGGGGTCAAATGAAAGATTAAAACTATAAGGATATCAGAATACAATAATCTGAGTATTTAATAATTATACAATGAGAAAAATATCTATACTTAATGATTCTCAATAAGGATACTTGAAATGAACATTTGTCAAAACTCGGGCGAATAATTTGGCAGAAATTGGTTATCGAGTATATAGAAGACAATTAATGTAATAAATTGTATCTGGATAATCTCAGCAATTGAAACTTAACTCATTTCAACGTTTCACCCACCAATCTCATCCGAACTTCAAGGAGGGACATAATCGAAATCAACATTATCAAAGAAGATATCAAGCATAAATAATAAAATTACACTAAAATCTTGTTCAACCGTGCTTATTTTGTTTACAATAAGATCGCAAGATAATGCAATACCTTTATATCCGGGTCGCTTATTACTTATACCTGAAACGAGTGGCCACTACAACTCCCACGACACGAAGTAAGAACACAAAAGACTGGCACAAGCGAAGGATTATTCCCTCTAAAACAATGCGACGATGAACGTGGTCGAAGATACAAATAGAAATAAACTCAACTCTGATTCATATTTTCGGCAGTCTACTTAGAGACCAATCAGAATGAAGCGGAAATTATCATTTTCGGCTTGCCTCATTCTTTGTTTTTCCTTTGGCCCTTTCGTGTCTCTGCAAAATTTAATCCTTTAGTATGCTGAAATCCCGCAACTTATGTGACACTAAGTGTTAGCGTCAACTTTTTTTTTTAATCAACAACAAGAACCAAACTTGACCTCAAACGTATCCTCACTAACATGATTCACTGACGGTCTATTTCAAAACAACCACAACATTTATTAAGATTTCTAAGACTGGGGATATCAGTCCAGTATATAATGCGTGTCCGACATAACACAGTCTGACATAATGAATAAAAATGTACAGCCACAGCGAGATTCATGGCATAATCTAGTTTTTTAATAAAAATTACATCAATCTGACAATCTCATTGACTACATGAACGTAAACATGATCATTATTTCAGCCTAAGATACACTAATTTATCGTGACAACGTTGAGTATATTCCCACTCAAAAATACACCCATGTATGGATTGATGTGTACGTCCATTAATTAGAAAAGAGTTACATATGTAAAAATGAAATGCTCAGAATTATAACAAATCACATGCCGCACGTCATGCTAAACATAGTTCATGTTAATTTGATACAAGAAAAATTGTATCTTGAATGAACATCACACTGAAATAAATCAATGTTATTTCATTTTTATATTGGTTGTTTGAATCTTCTCATTGATGTTTAGGACTATAATTGATCAGTCCTCTTATTGACATATGTGCTTCCTGTGAGAATTACCTCTATATCGCCTTAAGTCACAAATATTATAAGCAGAGATAGATGGTGGCTAGCAGTGGAATCCAGGACATGCATTTCGTTCTATTTTGAAGTAAATGGTACTGGGTTTAAGTCGCGGAGTGGATATCAACTCTGGTATGCAGGCACATCCAGCTGACGAGTACCATGATGGGACGAAACGCACGTCCTAGATTTCACTGCTAGTCCTCATCCATTCCTACTTATAAACCAATGTTTTTCTTAACCAAATGCCACACTGTAAATAAAATACACTGAATAATCATGTAGCTGAATTGAGAACAGTGTGGTGAACTGAACAATAAAATCTGAGAACTATATATTAAATCGTTAATTTGCAAAATGTCCACCAATTGTCCCAAAATGCCTCAGACTTCATTGTTCTTACATTTTCATACAAATTGCATCCTATTCTCGATCTTGCTTTCTTGATCTTCCCTCATCTTCTACTGCCAGACATTACATTCCTGACTCGCATAATATACTACTTATATGAATATAAGTAGCACGCACCACAACAGTAGTACTCTTTCCTTTTTATCTGCCCCCCCCTCATACCAAATCTGAAAAAGCTGTTTATTTATTTGTATGCCATTGTTATTGGAAAAAAAGTAGTAAATGATGTCTTTATTCACATTCAAGGACAGTTAATCGTTTATGTTTGTCGAAAGTATGTCATAGGATGCGTAGAATTAGATCGTTCACATAATTAATTCTAGTGTTAAAACTGGATTATTCTAATGATAATCACAGATTAAATAAAATATAAAGTCTAAGTAGGTATCCATGAATATCGGTGTCGATCTTTAGGCAATGAAAGTTTAAATTCTTATTATTTATCCGTTAGTTAAGAGTTTCCAAGGTGTAGTTAACTGTATTCCGTCTCTTCGGTCTATGTCGCTCTAGTTCACTCATAAAACCTTTTTTGAAGTAGTTGCATTTCTTGAAAATCGACCTTATACCCAGTTTCTGAAGCATGTAATGCTTTTACAAAACTATTTTCAAGCTCATTAAGGATTTTTGAACATGATTTAAAGATTATTTGTGTCCCTTAACCCTGACATTCAACTACTTGAATGTTTTTCTTACATATAATGCATTATACTCAGAACACTTAATTTTATAAACACATTCTTAGTGTTTCCTTATCGGTATCCAATGCTTCCCGCTCACTAACTTTGATTTAATGGAAACACTAGCTTGAAAATCAACATTTATATTTATATTCATCA